TTATAAAATATATTTTAAGTAATGAAAAATGTTTTTTGTATGAGTTTTTATCATTTATAATTATTCATTTTAATATAAATTTTTTGATTTTTAGAAAAATGCAATAATTGTTAATTTTTTTTATAAATCTAATATGTTCTTGTTTTAAATATATTTAGACATATTTGATATTTAAATTACTAGAAAAATTATTCATTTTTTAAAAAGGATTTTTATTTTTTCAATACAGTGACACCTCCATAAATATACTTCTTTTAGGATTATAATAAAAAAAATAGTAGAATGTACATTTATAAAGAATAAAATATTAAAAGCTTTTATGAGTTAAGATCAAAGCTTACTGTGTATTTAGAAAGAATTTACATAAAATATGTATTTATAGAGAATATACTTATGAAGGTTTTACTGTAATAAAAACAAAAAATTATTTAATTTTATTATATAAATTTGTTATTTTTAATGTAACATTTATTTTAAATATAATTTACATTTTTTATAATTTTAATATAATTTATATATAAGAATTTTTTAAATTTTATTTTATTTTACAAGTATAACAATAAAGTTTATTAGGTAAGACTTTAAGGTTTATCAACATCAAAAGGTAAAGATAATATTTTTAAAAATCATGTGACTTTTAAATGAATATAAATCTTCATTAGATCTTTATATAAATAACATAAAAAAAAAATTTAAATCATCAGTTTTTGTCTTGCTATCACTTGAGCTTTAGTATATGCTCTTTCATCAGATTGTTCAATGATAGCTGGAAAATAACAAATTTCAATTTCATAATCTTCATAATGACCTTCCCACATTCCTTCCATAAAACAAGGATCAATGTCTTTACCACTATGATAAAATTCTATTGTAGGGACCGGCTCTTGCGTCTTAAGACGAAAGAGTAAAATTCGAAGAACTTGAATAACAATTGCAGTTACCTCTTTTTTGGTTTTCTCTTCAGATTCTAAAACCCGATATTTATTCATTTCATCCATAACATCTTTTGCTAATTGAGTAATGAACGGATGATTGGAAAATCCCCTATTGCCTAATGCTGCATAAATGTGTTGACGTAATTTAGCTGGTAATAATCGAGAATGCTCATCAGCCCCGTCACGAGCCTTTTCGAAGCGGGTTGTAAGATTAACCAAATCATCTGTTCTTGATATGATGGCAACCTCCAACTTGTCATCATTAACATCAGTCGTAAGTGACTGACTAAGATAATCATTTGCAGATTTTAAAATAAATTTAATCAAATGTTGTTGCAAAACTGCGCTTAAAACCAATTTCATTTGCTTGCTCTCGACACTTGTAGTACAGTTAAACGAAGAAAATAAATCTCTGACAGCATCCATTTTGATTTCTTTAACTTTGCGTTTAACTCCAGTAATTTTATTCAAGTTTCGATTAAGGCTTTCTATCTCCTTCACCAATTGCGAAGAGTTGTTTTCGTTATCATCATGCCATTCAACATTAATAACTTCACCTAACGCCGCTCGTAACTTAATATTCTCATTTTTCAATTTATCAATTTCGTTATTTTCAACAATACTCTTTTCTAAATCTTCTAAAGAACTTTTATATTCGCTCTTTGACTTTTTGGAAGAACTTCCTGCAAACAGAATTGTTTCGCTTGAAGTATCATACTTGATGTAACCTTCATCAGAAAGGTCTCCATGTTCTGAATAATCTCGCTTTGATTTCATACGTTCAGGTTCGCTCTTTACATCTTTGGCGTAAGTGTATTTTTGTGAAACATAATCAAATACTTTAATACTTTGATCATCTTCTTGATCTCCAAGTTTTATCAGTAATTCATCATCACCTTTTTGCAATTCATTGTCAGGAGTTTCTTTTACAGCCTTGGAAGTTTGAAGTTTACTATTTAACAACTTTTTTTCTTCTTTCAGCCCTTTAATTTGCTCAATGAAATGATTTTCCTTGCTTTCCACGTTACCTTCTTGTTTGAATGGGTTACGATTTTCGGTTCCCTTTGCTAATACATGCTTTTTAACAAACATAAAATATCCATATATTCGAGAAACAAAATGAACTCGTAACACTTCTTTTTGGTGGGTTGACATTTTGTTTAAATAATTTTCTACTTTATCTCTACGAAAATAGTTTGTTTCAAGTCTTTTATTAATGAAAAGCCTCACTTCTGAACGTACGTCTTGATTACACGATTTTCGACTCTCCCAATATCTATCAATTAGATTTATGTAATCATCTGAATTTTGCGCATTTTGTGGTGAATAGTTAGATATTTCTTTGATATGTTCTTTGATAGGATTTATCTGATACGACTCGGTATCATCAAAATTTATGACCTCATCAAAGTCTAACACCATAATAAACAAACATACAATTTCTTCCCACAAATACAAGTGTCCAATCGTTGAAAGGATATCCCAAGTAGAGTCATGAGATTGTTGCGACGAGTTGCTTTGTTGTGATAAGTTAGTAGTATAGTACATCACTAAGATTTGTCAACTTATTTTTCAAAATGAACAATCGCTGTAAAGGTTTTTTTTTTTTACAATTTTTTGTTTTTATTTTTATTTATTTTTTTTTCCTTTTGAGTGGTTACACCAGAACATGAAAGTTTTTTAAATATAGTAATTGTTTCCGTAATAAGCAATAGAACAGGTTTTAAGACGATTGCCTGATATAACGATAATCAGCAATGTTTTTGTTTCTTTCATATGAAACATGTCTTTGTCGTCGGACGAAACTAGTGTTGTTGTTGCAATTGGTATGTAAAATTTATCGAACAATAACATATTCAAATAAATATATATAAATAAATATATTAAGTTTATCTTATTTTCTTGAAAAGACTTTGGTACAACATTCAGCGGGTTCGCATTCGCGAATAAGGTCAAACCCGAAGACGTCAGCCTAAATAAGATTCACCTTAATACCATTTGGTAAATTGACAAGTATAAGAAATAAAGAAAATATATAAATCTCCTCGAAAAAAAAAAAAAAAACTTTCTTTACAAAAGAACGAAGAAAGTTATTAAATTTTTAAGTCGTTTAAACGAAGCCATTGATCTTATCTTTTTACTTTCATTACCATCATTATCATTATCATTTTTTTTTTTTAAAAAATAATAAAAATAATAAAAATAATAATAATAAGGCTGGGACGAAAAGGTTTGCCGAAAACGAACACGGCCTTATTATACGTAAATGATAAATTGCACCAGAAGAAATGGGGCGAACAAGCCCTTGTTTATGAACCATCTAAAAAAGCTCGGGAAACCGAAATACACTACATAGTCGAAAGGTTCAAATTATTTTTGGACGACGAGGCAATATGTGCAGAGCTTCCTAAATTGCCAAGAAACATGGATGCAAAAAGGTTTATCGCAGATTATCTTGGCAAGCTGAAACATGTAAGATAAAAAAAATCATTTTTTTTTTCTCGGCATTCATTTCATTACTTACTGAAAATAATTGTTCTGAAACATTAAAAGGTCATCGAAGAAAATCTAGAAAAACGATGCGGCGTCGTGCCGCTATCACAAGTTCTGTTTGTGATGTCCGTACCAGCAGAATGGGTAACTATTTAAAAGAATGACTGATCAAAAAGTAAACATTTTTTTGTGATTGATTTTTTGATTTGTTGTTTTGTTCAAGCCTCCTCGTACCAGAGACATCTTACGGGAATGTGCGTACAAGTCAGGCTTGCTTAGTGAAAAGAGCCAACAAAATCTGGAATTCACAACTGAACGTAAGATTTCACATTCGTAAATATTCTGTTTATTAGAAATTTGAATTAAAAAACATTTTATTTTTTTTATGAAATTAAAATAGCTGAAGCAGCAGCAATTTATTGTCTATCGTCGATAAACGAACATTTGTCTGTCGGAGGTGAGTATTCAAAAACATCAAATTTTTTTTAAGGCAAATGTATGAATATAAATAAAAACCTTTAATTTTGTCACCGTAATCAGATACGTTCCTTGTTGTGGACTGTGGAGGTGGAACGGTTGATTTGACGGTGAGAACACTTCAACCGGATAACACATTAGAAGAAGAGACGGTTAGATCAGGTGGTCTCTGTGGTTCGACATGTATAGATCGAGAATTTGTAAAATTCTTAGGACGCATGGTCGGTCTTAGAGCCCTAATCACTTACAAGAAACGGTATTATGGAAACTTGCAAAAGCTTATCTATAAGTTTTTTTGTGACGAAGTTAAATTACCATTTACTGGTGATCCAGAAACATATGAGAACATTGAATTGGACATAGAAAAGCATTGTCCAGATTTGATGAATTTGGTTTGTGATGAAGCAAAGGAAAGGCTTGAAGAAGATGAGTGGGTCATCGATTTGGAATTCGAAGACGTGAAAAAAATGTTCGATCCGACAATTTCTAAAATCATTGCTTTGATCAATGCTCAAATAGAAAGTCTCCCAAAAAATAAGATCAAGGTGATGTTTTTGGTAGGAGGGTTCTCTGAATCCGAATACTTGTATAAGCGTATCAAAAGTGCCTTGATACATCTTGTACCAAAAATTATAGTTCCTCCTCAACCAATAGCAGCTATCGTAAAAGGTATTTAAAATTTTCTTCTCTTTGAAATAAATATTTAACATTATTCTTACATATTTTTATTTTTCAAGGTGCTTGTTATTACGGGCTCAACAAGAGTATCATTAAAGTAAGAGCCCTCAAGTGGACGTATGGTATAGAGGTCTGTGACAAATACAACCCCCATCACGATCCAAAAGAACTTCAGTATGTCATCATCTTGAATTTATTTATTTTTGGAATTATTATCGAATCGAGACAATATTTAAACCAATTATTTTTATTTATAATGTCAGGTTTACAGATAAAGTCTTGAGATTTGATTCTTTAGCTTCTCAAGGAGAGAGGCTTAAAATCAATGAAGAACGTCTTAGAGAATATAAGCCGCTTCGAAACGATCAATTGCATTGTACGTTGAAACTATTATTCTCAAGATTATCGAATCCTAGATATTCGAATGAAAAAGGTGTACACACTCTTGGGCAAATTTTTATCAAGTTCCCTTTAAAAAGTATGGGACAAGAACGACCTATAAAGTTGCATATTAAATTTGCGGAAGAAGAATTAAACGTAACAGCACGTAATGTAATCACAAATGAAGTATATCATGCTACATTCATTTATCCAAACGAGATTTAAATATATAGTACTTTTTATTATTATTATTATTATTATTTTCGAACATTTTTTTTTTTAGTATTTTTTTTTTTCTTCTTCATTAGTATATATTTTTTTTTTTATTTATGATAAATAAAATTCTCTCATTAACTCAAAATAATTTGAAACCTTCAAAAGTAAATAATATAAAGTACTCTTAAATTATCATTTTTGGTCGGACGATCACTTGAGCTTTAGTAAATACCCTCCGTTCTTCTTCTTCGATTAAGGTCACGACAGCAGGAAATGAACAAATTTCTACTTCTAATTCTTCAACATCCTCATCGTCTCGTTCGACCCGTCCCATTATCTCCATAACGCCAGGATCATAAACTTCACCACTTTTAAAGAAATGAATTGAAGGAATTGGTTCTTGTGTATAAAGACGAAAATAAAAAATATGTAAAACTTTTCTAATAATTGAAGCAGCTTCCAATTGAATTTTCTCGTTCTTTTCTTTAAAGATTATAATCCTTGTCATATAACTTAATGTCTCGGATAACAAATCAAAAATCAACGGGTGATTTGATTTAACAAAACTACGTTGACCTAACATGGCGTAAATATGTTGACGTAACTTGATGGGCAATAATTGAGTATGTACATCAATTCCAGCATTTGTCTCGGTAAAACGTTTGATCAGTTCAATTAAATCATTTGTTCGAAAATAAATGGCGGCATCCAACATCTCGTCAGTTATTTGAGAAGCAGAACCTCGAATATCATTAAATACCTTGTTAAAGTATTCATCCGTGAATTTCAAGATCAAATCAATCAAGTATTGTTGTAAAGCCGCACCTAATACTAATTTCATATTTGGACTATTGATTGTGGTTTCACATTGATAAGCTTTGAACAGTTCATTTGCGGAATCGGTCTTTATCTGGATGTGATCACGCTTAACCGTGGTAAAATTTAGCAAATCCCATTGAAGTTTTTCAATATCTTTTACAAGTTGCATGGAATTATTGGAATCATTATCACGCCACCCGACATTCCTTATTCCACCTAATTCTGCTTGATATTTAGAAGCTTCCTGTCGTAACGCTTCATTTTCTTGTTTCAACTTTTGAATAACCATTTCTCCTTCATTCATCGTGGCTTTGCTGACGTTCATCTCAATAATTGAAGGTTCCTTGTTCTTTTTTTGATCCATATTTAATTGAGAACACTCATCTACTCTTGTCTGATCTTTCTTGTTCCTTTCCTCATTTAAATGCTCTGTAAACTTGGAAAATCCATAAACACGAGATATAAAATCATTTAGCAACATATTTCGTTGTATGTCGACCATTTTATCAAATAGACAAACTAAATCTAAAGAACAGTCCTGAGGAATATTATGTAATTCGAGTTGTTGACGTATTGAGACTATTAGTTCAGCACGCTTATCCTCGTTGTTAACCACTCGACTTTCTCGGTAATCATCAATTATTTGAATGGTTTTTGAATATTTTTCTTCACAAGTTCCCCCTCTACGATACAATTGATTTATATTGCTCTTCATTTCCATAATATCTCTCATTAAAGTATTTATTTCCACGGAATTACATAGTAAAAGGAATAAATATACAAATGCATCCCACTTATGTACACGCACCAAATAACGGAAAACCTTCCAAGTTTCATCGTAATTATCATTACCATCATGATAATTTTCATTATTACCATCATAATTATCTTCAAAAGTATCATTATTATTATTAATCTGATTCCCTGAATAATATTTGGGTTTATGATTATACATTTTTTCCGTGATTTGGATGATTTACAGGAAAACAAGATTTTCTTATACGAAAAATTTGTGTTTCACAGGCTCAGTTAGTCGATCAAAACAAGAACTAATCCCGCAAATTAATAATGATCACGTCTCACAACACAACAATTTTTATAAAGAAAAAAGAATTCTCTCCCCCAAAAGAACATTTAATTAAATACATTTTCGTACTATGGCTTCAGTTGATATTCGTGTGGTCGTCGCCATAGGTATCAATAATAAATAAATAAAATAATTAAAATAAATGCTTTTTGTATTTGATACGCGTGAAAAAAAAAAAGCTATTACTTTTGCAAAGAGTGTGAAATGTCAAATATTTCTTTCGACGGTACTAATTTCATTTTAATTCAGATTTCGGGACTACTTACAGCGGATTTGCGTATGCAAATAAGATTAACCCAGATGAGATTGATACCAATACTCGATGGTATGCAATAATATTTGATCATTTGGTCACTTTTATTTTTAAATTTTTTTTTTTTTATCCTAAATTAAATTGCCCTCTTTCACTTTTCAAATTGGAAATAGGTTAGGTAGGGAAGGATTACCGAAAACTAATACGGCATTATTGTACGATGCTGATTGCATTGAAGTCTTAAAATGGGGTGAGCCAGCACTTCTCCAAGAAAAGCGGCGACGAAAAAGTCAGGAAAAGGCGCAGAAAGTTCACATAATTGAAAGATTTAAATTACATTTGGATGATATGATGAAACAGAAACCTTTTTTGCCTTCATTTCTTGATTATAAAAAAGCCATTATTGATTATTTGATTAAAATGAAAGGTGTAGGTAAAATAATCCAATTATCAAATTTGAATTTAAAAAAACAAATTGATTCGAGAGATGTTCTTTAAAGGTTATTGAAGAGACGCTTTTTAGGACTTGGCCTGATCTTAGCTTGAGACAAGTTTTGTTCGTATTATCTGTGCCCGCTGAATGGGTAAATTATTATTATTTTTTTTTTTAGGTTTCATTATTAACTTTTATCGAAAATATTAAAGGATTTTTGTTATCCTCTTATGAAATAGCCACCTCCAACAAGGGCTATCCTTCGAGATTGCGCATTTCAAGCGGGATTAATTGATGAAGATACACATTCTAACTTAGAATTTACTACAGAACGTAAGATGAGAATTCAGATTACACACCGTAAATCGCGGACTATAGTGGTAGTGCCCGGATTTTCACGTTCTGCGAATAAACCTAGACTCTGAGCATATGACCCGGTTACTACATTAATTCCAACTAACTAGTCCACGTTTTACGGTAAGTTTATGATTCCTTGATAAATTAATTAACGTGATTTATTTATTTAAAGCCGAAGCCGCAGCCATCCATTGTTTATCTGTGTGCAATCAGCATGGCATATCTGAATCAGGTTAGTTGGTTTCTTACTTAGAAATTATGGATTGTAAATTTTCAAACGGTTAAATTTTTCTCTACCCAGATACGTTCCTTGTTGTCGACTGCGGAGGTGGAACAGTGGATTTAACAGTACGCACATTGCTTGAAAATAACAAACTACGTGAAGAAACTGTCAGAACAGGTGGCCTATGTGGAAGTACTTTTGTTGACGAAGAATTTCTTAAATTTTTAGGTCGCGTAGTTGGAATTAGAGCTTTAGCTCAATTTAAAGAACAAGCTTATGGAGATTTACAAAAACTTATTTATCGATTTTTTTGTCAACACGTAAAATTACCTTTTACTGGAGATCCTGATGAATTTGAAACAATCGAATTAGATTTGCAAGTTCAATGTTCAACTTTAATACAATATATTACTGGTGCAGCAAAGATTAATCTTACGGATGAGGATTGGGTTGTTGAGCTGGATTATGATGATATTAAACATATGTTTGACCCCGCAATCAATGAGATCATTAAATTAATTGATGCACAATTAAATAGTGTTCCACGACACCTTAAAATTAAAGCTATGTTTTTAGTTGGAGGTTTTAGTGAATCTCTATATCTAACAAAACGAATCAAAGAAACTTTTCATAATCGAGTGCCGAAAATAGCATTTCCTCGACAACCGGTCGCAGCGATCGCAAAAGGTTGGTTAAAAAATTTAGCAAATGTCAACAATTAATTTAATAATTAAGCATTATTATTAATTTCTGCATATCAGGTGCCGTCTCATATGGTCTAAATATGCAGATAATAGATTCGAGAATTATTCCGTGGACATTTGGAATAGAGATAAGTGACGACTTTGATCCTCAAAATGATCCAGAAACGCTCAAGTGAGTCCTTAATTTGTTTAACACCATTCGAATTCAATATAAAGGAATAATGAAGTTCGTTTCTTAATTTTCGTAAAATTTTATTTTTTTTTATTTTTTTATTTTTTCAGAACTCAAAGTGGTCGGATTTGGAGATTTGATCCCATAGTGCAACAAGGTGAAAGACTTAAAGTGAACGAAGAACGTAGTAAACTATATCAACTATTACAAAAAAATCAAGATGCAGTTTCTTTTAAAATCTTTTACACAAAACTAAAAGATCCTAGATTTCCGTATCAACCTGATGTAAATTTTTTGGGTAAATTAAGAATTATATTGTCGGATAAACACCTTTTCTGCGATAGTCCCGTGGAATTTTCCTTAATGTTTGCCAAAGAAGAGATTAAAGCGACCGCAAGGAATGGAATTACAAATAACTCGTATCATACTACCTTTAAATATCCTTTTGAAACAGGCTTTTAATAACAAATGATGTTCTTCATATATCACATGACTTTCCTATCAAATGAGAATGTCGAAAAAAAGAGTTTAACAAAAAAAATATGCCGATTTCTTTCACCTAAATTTAGTGAAATCTGGTAAAATACAAAAAAAAAAAAAAAAATGATATAGAAATGATAAACAAAGATTTAACTTGTTCAAATGATTTTAATATTCTTATAATTCATTAATTTAATATAACGATAAATTTATTTTCTATAAATTCAATCACATGATAAAATTAAATTGAATGGTGAAAATATTATTCGCTTTAAAAAAGAAAACTTTATAAAATATACAAAAATATAAATTTATCATTTAGTTTAATTAGTTTTAGATTTAAAAAAATCTATTTAAATGAAATCAAATTAATAGTTTAACCTTTTATTATTTAATAAGATTATTAAAATAAAATTTTAAGAATTATAATCCTTATAGCTTTTGTAATTCTAATAAATAGGATTAATTTAATAATATAAGAATTTTATTTTTCCTGCTATCTATTAAATATATAATATACTTTATTATTAAAATATGTATTAATCATAATGAAATTAAAAAAATTTTTAATTTTTCATATAATATATAATATAAATAACTCTAATTTAACAAATTAATAAATAAAGCATATTAGATTTGTTATATTTAAATGTATCTAATAGTAAGTATTTTTAAATTTTTAAAATTAATAATTATCATTATATTAATTTTTCAATTTTTCAATTGTTAAAAATAACTTATTATCTAATATTTATAAAAAATAAAAATTTTAATTTATTGGATTCATCTCATTAAAACCTATTAAATAGTAATACTTTATATTTTGAAATCAATAGGTAGTAAGATATATGAAAAAATATTTAAATAATTAAAAATAAATTTAATTATTAAATAAAATTTTTGCTTGCATTACTATACTTTAACATGAATTGATGAATTACTAATTAAATTATATTTTAATAAATGTAATTATTTATTAATAATTATAATAAATATCAAATTAATATAATTAATTTTGACATTATTAAAATTAGTTAGCGTCAAAGTATATGCATTACTATTAAAAAAATATTATTATTAATGTGTGATCCTGTTGAATTATGACTATTAGATAGGGTGTTCAAATAGTAAATTTTTTTAAAGTTTATATAGTAATCTAATAGTTATCTCAGTAAGTTAATAGTTTTTTTATATACCATAGAGTATATTCATACCTCAATAGGTTAGATTCTTAGTTAATTAGATTTTTTTATATGTTATAAAATATATTTACATCTCAGTTAGTTATATTACTTAAAGATTTATACAAAAGTTATGAATTATATTAAATAGTTTATTAATAAATTTAATAAATAAAAGATAATATAAGAAATTAGAAAAGAAAGAGATTAATCATACAATTAACTAAAGGTTATGCATATTCTACTAGTAAACTGATCAAGTTATATCTAGCAACTGATAATTACTTTCTTATTAAGAATTTAGTTTTCTTTATATACTTTTAATGTAAATCTAATATATCATATATGTAAGATATGTTTGATATATCAAATATATTAAATATGTCAAATATATTAGATATATTAAATATATTTAATATGTTTGATATTTTAATTTGCATTTTCTTTGCATTATATAAATTAAATACATCTATTAAGATAATCATATTAACTATATCACTTATATAACTATTTACAATGTATTATTTAGACCAATTAAGTTATAATAGTTTTGTTACATTATCATCTTTAAATAAATCTATTAGATTTTAATAAATAATAAATAAAAGATTTAATAGTTTAAAATATTATTAGTTCAGAATGAAGTAAAGGACTATATATATCTATACAAAGTATTCTGATATCTGCTCGCTCAAAAATTATGTTAATGCTGATTGGCTTTTATAATATATTTTTAATTAAGATCATTTCAGACTTAATCACAATCCCTATTTCCTAGTTTTATAAAACTTATTATATAAATTAAGATAATATTTTATATTGATGTTAATTAAAACTAATTTACAGTTAAACTAATATCAAATTAAAGTTAATTTTATGTTAATTCATAATTTTATTTATGTTTTCAATTAAAATTAAATTGTTTTATTTGATTAGAATCAATTAATATTAATTTGAGTTGATTAGAAAATAAACAATCCAGTTGTAAATATTATCAAAATCAGATTTAAATTCGGTTATCTGATTTTAGTTAATTTGAATTATTTTAATTAATATTATTAAATATAAATAATAAATATATAATTAATTTTTTATTGAATAAAACTATTATATTAAAAGACTCAATTATTACAAATTTTTCTTTTTAATATATTTAATTTTATAATTATTCTAAAAAAATATTTACTTTTAATAAATTTTTTATATTTAAAATAAAAAAATTATTAGTTAATATTTAATAAATAAATTAAATATTTAAATATTAATAAAAATAGCATTTAAATTATTATTAATAATATTATATTATTTTTGAATTACTATACTATTTCAAACTGAATATCTGAAATAAATAAACATTTATTATTATGAAAGATATAAATAATATAATAAAATATGTATAATAAATAAAAATTATTATAAAAGAAATATGTCATAGGATGCTTATCTCATAATGATACAATATTAATAAATTATTACTAACCTTTAATTATAATAACTTATTAAATTTTAAATATAAAAGATATTTAATTATCATAAATATTATATATTCTTTTTTATATCATTATAATATTTATATAAAATTATAATAAATTACAATTTTTTTAAAAAATAAATTTTAAAGTATTTTTATAATTAAAATATCTTAAATATATTTTTTATTGATAATTATTATAATAAAGAAAAATAATATTAGAAAAATATATAAGCATTTTTTTATAATTAAGAAGAATTATTAGATAATTAATTTATTTATTCATTTTTAATATAAAATTATCATAATATTTATTTTTTTATTATTAAAATATTTTATTTAATATAATATTTAGATTATTTTATATCATTATATGTATACTGATTAGTGATTTTAATATAAAAAATATGGAGATAATTAAATTATATATTTTAATTATTCATTAAAATTTGCTATTTTTTTTAATTAATTTCTTTATTATATATCAAAATATAAAAATATATAATTTTATTAATTTCTTATAATATTTGAGATAAAAATTTACATTTTAAACCTTTTTATTATAAATGATAGCTTTTTAACTTATTAATAAAATAAATGATATAATTTCACTTTATCTAATTTAGTTATATTTTAAAATTTTAATCATATTAAATGAATATAAATTTATTATATAAGATAGTTTAACTTGATTCTACTTTTAATTTACATCTTAAGTATATTTGTAAGTATAATAAGGTTAAAAGTAAATTATGCAAAATAGCAATAGTAACTATTTCTTTAGTATATTATATTTTTTTTAAAATAAATATAAAATTTTTTGATTTAGAAATTCTAGAATTTGATACAATAATTATTATAAATGAAATATTATCAGATTTATTATTTTGTCTTTATGATTTTCAACTTAAAAGCTTTTGAATTAAATAATAAAAATTGAATGCTTTGATAAAATCACAACTTATTAATTAGTATACTAAAAATCTTATATAAGCAGCTTAAATTTCATTTTATATTTTAAATAAATAGTACAGACCCCCGCCAAAAGTTTCCGAACGCTTTTTAGCTCAATGTAAAACTTAAAATTTTAAAGTTTATTAAAAAAATTTATTAATTTATTTATTAATGTACAATATGCTACACATTTGGTACTAAATAATTAGTACTTGGTCGGGCGTTTATTTGCTTCATTACAGCCTGAATTCGTTATGACAAATCACTTCAGCCAGCTTCGCTGCAAATCTTTAATTAAGGATGGTTGACCAGAACGAAGCCTTGAATTAACAGTTCCAGTGTCATCCATTCTTTTTAAAGTTCTAAATGCTATTAAAAATCTACAACTGATATTTGCAGCAATAGCCCGATAACTATCGCCACGTTAATGGCAAAATATATACTGTCGCGTTGTTCTTTGAACATTTTTGTGGTTTTCGGAAGGTAAATTTTATTTTAGTTAAAATCAAAATAAACAAACCAAACACGCTTTTATAACATGCTTTTATTTGGTTTTGATTCAAGTAAACAAGGTCAGGTACATTATATGACCGCAGTATTATACAGTTATATGATGTATTCGGTATAAAATAGCTGAAAGATGACGTTTAGAAACTTTTGGCAGGGGTCTGTATAATGGCTTAATGACCAGATCTTATAAGGATAAATTTCAAAATACTTAGCCTGGAATATTTTTACATCTTGATATTTTCAAATAAAGGAATGTCACTTAGCATGTCTGTAAAGAAAAGAACTGAATAAGCTATTTAATACAGATACAGACTCTGTCTTAGATTTTATAATATACCAGAAATTGTAAAGTTATTCTTTTTAATATTCTTAATTAAGTTTAAGATTGCTAAAGCTGGTCCCATCTTCAAATTGCAATCTTTAAGTTCATCTTTTGTCAAAAGAAGAAAGGTATGCCTTGTAAGTTTTGCCTCGTAAATAAGTCTTAAATCTTCAAAATCAAGTTGCAAGTCCTTTTGCTCTCGTAAAAATGCTAGAAGTTCCTTTGTTTTCCAATTCCTGACCAATTCACTTGCCATCTTTGTGGAAGTTTGAGAAAATGTTTTCAGAAATTCATTAAGGATTACACGCACTATATATCACGAGGCATGTGTGTCATAACAATAATTCTCATTTTTTTTTAAATTTGATTGATTTTTTAAATGTAAAAAATTCTAACAGATATTTTTTCATAGTGTCAAATATTAATACCAATGTTTACTTTGTCTGATTTTGTTGCAGTATGTCCCATTTACTATATTACATCTAACTAATAAATATATTAAAAATCACTTTTTATACTGAAGCTATTAATCAAATTCTTTAAAATTTTCATTTTAAGATTATAATAAATTTAGTATTTAAAATAATAACTTTGTTATAATAAGAGTTGATTGTAAATATAATTTATACAATTTAAAAGTATATTAATATAGCAAAATTTAAAATACTTAATTTAAAGTAAATTATACATAATTAGATATTATATATCAAAATATTTTATCTACAATATTAAAAGAATTTTATATTATTATAGGATTTAATTATATTAATTAAATTTAATAATAATACAAAAATTAACTAAATATTTAAATAATTTTTTTTTATATAATTTTTATTTAAACTTTTAATTATAAATATAAAAAATTTTAAATCTATTATTTTATATATATTTAACATATTTTAGTATATAATTTTTTATATAATAATTTGAAAAAGTAAGAATAATACAATTCTATATATAATTTTTTTTTAATACAATCATAAATTTACTAATATCAAAATTTTTCAAATATATTAATTAACATTATAATTTATTATTATAGTTTAATTAATAATCATAATAATTTTACTAAAAATATATAAATAATTATATATAAAATTTATTATATAATAAGTATAAATACAATTATATAATTGAATAAATGATATTAATCAAGAAATAATTTTTTAAATCAGCAGATAAATTTATCAATTAAACAATTATAAAAATATAAAAATATGATTATATATAATTTTTATCTATTTAACTTTTTTATAATTTAATTATTGTATAATTTATTTTAATAATCTTTTATTATATAATATAAAATTTATTAATTAAAATAAGAATTTTTAATTAAAAATCTAAATTAATAAAATCTGATTCATTTTTTTAAAAATTATATTAAAATTTTTTTTTATTTGTTATATTATTTAAACTTTTTAAAAATAAAAATAAAATAATAATTTAAAATTAAAAAATAAAAATAATAATTTAAATTTAAAAACTAGAAATAATAATTTATTATATTAAAAAACAATATTGCTGTGCAAGACTAATATTAGTTTTTAATCTAGTATTTTATATAAAAAGATTATCACGTTAGCAAAATAGTTACATAACTTATAGTGTTAACATTTTTAATTACATAATCTCATATGCTAAATTTTAAATCACGTGATTATTCAGTATATCAAATATATATCTCAATATACATGTTCAGTTAAAATTAGTTCAGATGCAATATATAATATTTTATTATATAAATCCGTTATAACCAGCGTAATTAATTATAAAAAAATCAGTTCTGTAATACATAGTTCAATATAAAAGATTTTGGTATAAGCAGGTTCGTTATATCTAGAGTCGACTGTACTTCTTATATATCACCTTTATATATATATATTCAACTCTAACTCTAATCCTAACCTACTTCTATATTATATGATATGAATATACGTAATAAATAAGGATTTACACATGAAAAAATTTCTAAGTTTCTAGAATATATATAAAAATAAAAAAGAGAGAGATATATAACACAGGTAATAAAGGTGACAAAAAGGAAGTGATGATATTACACCTGCAATAAATAAATTTACTCTTAAATAAATGTTTATATAATTAATTAAAATATTTAAAAATTAAGTATTTATTAGAAATAAAATAGCATTAAAAAATTTACAACCAAGATATTTATAATATAATAATAAATATTAATTAAAGAATAAAGTATTAATAGCTTTTAATAGTAATATACATTTTTAATATCTTATAAATTTATTATTTTAGCTTTATATACTATTTATAAATTACAATCTATTTCATATTATATTAAATGTCTTATATATGAGGCCTTTGCAATAGAAAGGGAGGAAACTCAAAAAAAAATAAAAAATGAGTTAATAATAAATCTGAACA